ATACGACTGGTGGAGGACAAACAACATTCTTGTTAAAAACCTTAGAGGAAAATGGTTTAGATATTAGTAACTTATGCAGCCAAGAGCCAAGAATACAACAACGGTTAAAACATGAGAGGAAACAGTTTTCGAGTAATTATGCTCAAATCGTTGCTTTTCCGAATTAAAAAGTTAAACTAAGTTTAGCATAATATGTAACTGCACTTACCTTTTTTATGTAGAAAAACAATAACAACAAATAATCACAAAAAAGATAAATGTTGTACAAATTACCAAATTACTGCTATTGCAACAGTAGACACAAAATAAGGATTAAGCAATTCGTCGAATGCGTCTACCCTTACATATGCATCGGCATCAAGTATTTCCACGTTGAAATAAGACAGAAGAGAACACCAAAGATGAAGTCCTGTCCTGGTTATAACTTTCGGTCAAATAAGACAGTGTGTCAGGAGGGAAAGGCATTCAGATGTGGCAAGGTCGAGGCTGCTTAACACAGTTAAATGCCCCAACCCGTAGAGGTGATCCAAGAGGCCGAACACCTATAGGACGAGCCGACGAGCTAAAACTAAACTGAGTCGACAGGAATACTCAGAAACTCACATTCCATGTCCCCATTCTGGAGGGATGGTAAAAACATCTGCCATCAACAAGGGCCTCAACACCGGACAGCAGAACAAATTCACTTAAATACTGTCAGAAAGACCAGGCCACCAATCCAGCCTGCTAACACTACGTCATGCTATACAGATCTCAGCTTTAGGCGACCCCAGTGAAAAACCAAGGAAGGAAATGAATATGCAGTTTTGAGGCTCCAGGCACCCACTGGAAACTTTAAGCAGTTTATAGGCTAGCTGAATTCGCCAATTCATTGAGAGGGCTGTTTCACCCCGGACAACCATGAATAGCTGACTATATAGCTCCACCACAATCAACGAAACAGACAAGACAGCACCATGTGGTTGCTGCCGAACCTGAAAAAATATCGCCAGCAATGACTACAGTCCCGTGGAGACTGATTTTAAACACTCATGGCCGAGACTGCCTAGGTACAGATCCTAATCAGTAGCTTCCCAGGTTTTACCTGAGTCGACCCCAAGGGAAAGCATTCAAATAACACAAGAATTTTCCTGTTCAGGCAGACAGCAAGATGAACAGCTTGTTTTAATGATTGAACGGTACCTTTTTGACTCAGCGCTGTCGTGCTCTGCACGACCTTGCACCTATTGTCAGGGCGAGCCTATTTAGGCGCCACTGGTCAGTGGTGGATCCTCTGTTTGTGCACAAAAGCATGTGAGCCCCAAAAAAGAAATGAAGAAATAAATTTATTAACATAATATTAAATACACTTCCAGATTATTGCCAACTTCCAGGATGAGTTTCTCTGCCTCCTCTTTTCTAATATACTAATACGTAGTTAGATTACTATAGCACAGTGCACTTCAGTTTTTTCTCGATCGCACATGTGATCCAGCAATTGCCTTGAAAACCAGTTTATGAGGAAAGAATTGGATAGAGGAACGCAACGGAAAAGGCACCGTTGATAACATTCTATTCGCACATCTCCAGTGTGCGGGAGTTCGCATTGTTTGCAGTTATCCTCATCCAAATTCTCCCTTGGTTTTTCTATATTCAATTAGTTGAATTACTTTCCCATTTTCTTCTTCTTCTTCTTTCTTTTTTTTTTTTTTTTTTGTTCTCATTTTTCTATGTATATTTTTTACTAACTAGTGTAAACAGTTAAGATGGTACATAGTAAAATCAGTATTTTGGAACTAATTACACTTTTCAATATTGTCTTTGGAAGGAAAATTTTTAAAAAAATTACCCAGGTCAATACTTTTGCTAAACCTTATCCAGACGGTGAAATGTAAGGACAGAGATTTTAAAAGGGAATTCAAATTCTATTTCTATGAAAAATGTTTAGGGATGTGTGAATGCAAATCAATTAATGGGCCGTTTTGCTTTCCATACCTGCTGTTTACAAAACAGAATGGTTATTCAAGTTGGGTGAGTTATGATGTTCCTGATTTATTACACCCAACTCAGATGATTAAAAAGCAGGAATACTCACAATCATATTTAAACTCCATCTTAGAATTTAATTTAAGATGGATATTCAACAACAACTCGAAAGTGTTTTTCACTCAAAAGTTAAAACACATGATGAAAAAGTTGCCAAAAATCATTATGTTATAGCAAAAATGATTGACTGGATTCTGCTTTGTGGTGCATTTGAGCTTGCACTTCGAGGTCATGATGAAAGTGAGAATTCATTCATTCCTGGAATATTTAGAGGTCTTATCAACTTCTCAGCAGAAACTGATTCAAAAGCCCATCTCAATAGTGCTGATGTTTTTAAAGGAATTTAAAAAGAAATCTAAAATAAAATGATTTATTGGACTGCATGTTCATTATTTATCAGAAGCACATAAAAATATGGGATATCAAAAGTAATTTTTATTTCAGTTATAGCCAGAGCCAGATTTAGACATAATAAGGCCCTAAGCTATTTAAGATTTAGAGCTCTTCATAAGTCTCTTATATTACATTTTAATACTATATTTATACTGTATGTTAACTTTCTAGGGCTTCCCAAGAAAGTGGGGGCCCTAAGCTTTAGCTTAGGATAGCATATAAAGTGGGGGCCCTAAGCTATTGCTACAACTTGTGTAGCTTATACATAAATCCTGCACCGGTAATAGCAGATGAAACTACTGATGTGTCATCCATTTCCAAATTTACAATTGGTTGTTGTTTTTTGATATGATTTAAGCGAAGGACAACCAATAGAGAAGTCTGGGAATTCACCAGGGCATGATGCGAAATCTGTAGCTGAATGTATCCAAGCAAATTTGTAAAGAGTAATAGTCAATCTGAGAAATTAATATCACAGAACTATGACTGTGCAAGCATGTGAGTGGTCATCATGCTGGTGGTCAAGTGTTTATTTAACGTCCCTAAAAGAATGCAAAATTTGTACATTGCTACACACATCAGCTCAATTTAATTGTTTGGAAAAGAACCAGTCAGAATCAGCAAGTTCGAATATTTTTTTCCCAACCTGAGTGATATTACTAACTTTTTAAATAACTCTAACAAAGAAGGGCTATTCTAGAAGAAACTGTTACAAAAAGGATAGCTTATGGTTCCACTAACAGATAGAATTTTAAGAGTCGAACCATCAATATATCAAAACAGTGTATGACTATAGGGAATAGTTGATTTAATGCATGGAAAAAATGGAATCAACATCTAACCAAGCTGTAGCAATAAATCAAGCAGAGGCTACCCTCCATACATTATAAAACCTGGAATTTGTGTTTTGGCTTACAGTGTTTCACAATGTTAGGTTACATGTAGATGTATTTTAGTGTTTTACAATCAGCTTCAGAAAACACTAACTGATGCAGCAGTAATTAGAAAACAAACATTTTTCAGTAGTCACTAGAAAACAAAAGGAAGCAAATATATGCAGTGACAGAGGAGATATCAGTATCATGTGAAACTTCAAGAAAAATGAAAAGAGGAAATATCCATATACATTAAACTGCAGCAGCTGAAGATGTGATATCATCACAAAATAAGTAAAAAAGATACTTTGTTTTATTTCTCGCTTCTCTGCTGTTTATCGCCTCAAAGTTCCAAAATTCCAGTAGTACAAGAAAATGTTTACAACTCATATTCTTGACCAAGCAGCTGTTGTTTATTCCGTATTGCATAAGGATTATCTGAAAAATGAACTAAAAGTAATATATAGAACAGTGTTTCCCAGCCTTTTCGTCCCTAAGAGCACATTGTAGAACATCTGTTGGATGGTAGGCATCATTTACTTTTTCAAGATGAATTTATAATTGGATAGAGTTAATATCACAAGCACATAAAAAAGAGATCGATCGCATTTCATTTTGTGCTGGTATCTGTGTTTGACACAATTTCTGTTTCATTAAAAATAAGAAAACTTTCACATAGAATTTTATTAAAAACTAAAACATTTTTATTGTGACTGCACAGAGGCGGACACACATTAAATGATTGGCAGGTGCCATGGTGCCCACGGGCATAGGATTTGGAGCCCCTGATATAGATGAGATTTCAGAAATAGGACTGGTGCTATTAGTCTTCTACAATTTATTATAAAAAACAAATTGCAGAATGCATTTTAGGAGAGCTACATACTGTTGCTAATTATTGTGACTATTCCAATGACCACTGCTGCAGTCTGAGAGATGCTTCTCAACTCTAAAACAAGTTGAGACATTTTTCAGAAACACTAAGAACGAGGACAGACTAAAAGCTCTAGCCATGCTATCAACTGGCGGTGGGTGGGTGGGTGGGGACATGATAAATGATATATCTAAATTCATTGAAACACTATTAATATGTTTGTCTCAAACGATGGTCCACATGAGGATAACACACTCCTCTATCACGAAAGAACTTTGAGTTTGCATGAAAATAGATGAATGGATTTAATTTACAAAAATTATACTCAACTATTTTGTAATCGAAGTTCAAAGATATACTGTAAGCAATATTATGGTTTTATTACATTCCACTATCAGTAATAAAATGCTACAATTTTTTTACATATGAAGAACTTATTTTATTTTAGTTGCATTGTTTTTCTTGTGAAAACACAGATATATTGTAACTTGTAAGTTATGCATATTTAATTTAGTCCTGCATATTTAATTTTCTAAATTTGTTTTGTGAACCTCCATTTAAATACCTCATGAGCCACCACTGCCAATGGTTTCCCACAATGCAAACAAACATGTATGCATACATACACACATATTCTTCATTATTTAATAGTAGAAATAATAAGCATATTTTAGCAAACAGAATCTATTAAAATAGTCACCTATAAAAATATATCATATATTAAAAATGTACTTTTTTTGTATTCATAAGAAAGTATTTTTTATATTCTTAAAAAAAATGATTAATCTAAAATTGCTAAAGAGTATTTCTAAAATAATATGCATTCTAAATACTTGATCATTCCGTGCTTTTTCAGAAGCTACAATCTTTTGTAAATGAGCTACTTTATATGCAGACATCTGCATTTCCTTCATGGCACACTTTTCCCTCTCTAATGCTTTCTGTGAAAGAAAAAAAGTTCTTATTTTTAAATGTCCTTTTAATATTAAACTAAGGAGAAAATAATAATAATAAAAGCTAGACAAAAGTATTAATGATATTCAGAGTTTAATTTAAACACACAATGCACTGAATAAAAACACATAGCATTTTTTAAATCTTAAGGTAATAGTTTGCAGTATCCCAGGGATAGCATATAAAAAAGATACAAAATGACAGCAGAGTTGAGTTATGCTAATTTAGGGCTCTACTCTTCTTTAGAAAGCCCTTAAAACACACTTTCGTTGTTTTTATGTGAGAAAACACGATTATTAGTAAATACAGAATGAGATTATTGCCATTTAAAATTAGGTTCTTAATTCTTAATTACCGATTACCAGCTAGTCCTGAGATAACAGAGACACTGATAAATGTTTTAGCAAATCAATGGTTGGCAAGTTACTACCTGAATATTTAATGAATTCCTGGCAGTTTATGAATGAAAATACTATTCATTCACAGGATTTTAATCAGAAGAATGGAAATTATAGCAATAAACCAAGAATTGGCTAAAGTAAGAACATTTAAAATGACTTTTTAGTTAAAACAATTATTATTTACTAAAATATAAAAAGACCTTATATAAAAATTACAATATTATAATTTAGAACTGCTTTTTTTTAATAATATTAAGAAAAGGACATCTTTTTTTAACTAAAAACTTCACTTATTTGGATAAACAGAACCAGTGTCATTTGTTTCGATATTTACAAATGTACTCAAAAAACACAACTGGAATAAGAATTTTACTTCCTCCTCATTTCTGTAATGAATAAATCTGCACAACATATAATAAATCGAACCCCTGTTACAAACATATATGTACAACTCGTGGCTTTTAAGCTGATCCTGAAAAAATTTAAAAAGTATATAATATATTAATAAAAATCATAAATCTACTCAAAATATATGGACAACCTCAGGTAGAAAGGGCTCTAGAGATGATCTGTTTACAAAAATATTTTTGAATCATTAGTGCAAAAGTGCCAGTCCATGTACAGATGGAATTAATGGATATTCAGTGTGATTCAATCCTAAAGTAAAAATTCAGTGATATGTAAAAATTGGGTAATACTCACAATTTTTAAATATATTTTATATATACTGCATGTTTCCTAAAAAGCCATAAATCTGCATTACACATGATTTCAAGTCAAGAATATGTATCAATGTGAACAACTTTTCTCATTTATAAAAAGAGAACCAGATTCACTTCATTATTGTTCTGAAAATTGCTAACATGAGCAGCATGTTTCTAGAACTCCAAAAGCTCATTTCAAGAAAAAGATTCCAGGTGCTAGAAAAGAAACAATCAGCACCCTTTATACAATGATTTATTTATCTTCAATCCATTTTTTTAGAGAACTACAATATTAGGTAAGATTTTATGTATTTTCTATTAAAACAGAGTATGATTTTTTTCCCTTTTTCACATGAAACCGTACATTGATAGTTATTTGGCCCACCTGAGAAGTGGAATTTGACCCATCTACTCATTAAATATCATTAAATGATTACCAAGTAATTTTTCTTGGATTTTGAGTTTATATGAATGTTTTCTAATCGTAGCCACATTAAAAATTTAAAAGAAATTGGAAGTGACCAAAAATATTTATATACAGTAAATAATAAACATGTTAAATTTTTTGTGTAACACATTATATTAAAAACCCATTCCAATAACTTTAAAAAAAAATTGACTTACTATGCTAAAGTTGAAAATTAATTAATTAAAATAAGTTTTTATAATAATTCTAAATGGTTAATATTAGCAGGTAAAAAGTAAATAAATAATATACCTTAACTTCTCTCAAACTCTGCAACAGAGGAATAAATTGTGATTTAACTTTTGCAAGTTTCTCTCTATGTATGGCTAATGCTCTGCATGTTTTCATGTGCTGAAATCGAGTCTCCTGAAATTCTGTTAAATCTACAGAGGCTAGTCTTTTTTCTTGCTAAAGAAAATTACATCACTTCATTATAACCTTGGCACAGAAATTTAGATTCTGCAAGTATAATTGTTAACTTTAAAGCAGAGATCAAATTTAAGTTACGAAATAGTAAAACAAAACAAAAAGTTTAGGTAAAAAATAAAATCAGGATGCATCACATAAAAAAATAACAAATTTTATTCACAATAACTTTTTTAGGATATTTAAACATATTTAACTTTAATATTAAAATCTTATTTTTTGTAAGATTGCAATATTAAATATCCTTATAGAAAAAAAAAAGAATTCTGTACCAAGATACATAGCATATGGCATTAGAAACAAATTAAATATAATAATCCTGCAAATTTTCATAATGACAACTGGATATATTAAAAATAAATCTATTTTAAATTATAAACAATAGATATATTATTTAAAAATAAAGATATCAATTAGTCAATAAATAACTATAGATGTACAATATTTGCTTTTAAATGGTTTTTGGTATTCCTTATCATGATTCCTGCTATTTAAATAATTCCAAGGTTCTCGAAAAATTACCCAGATATGTCACTATTTGTCGCTAAACAGATGAAATAGATGACAGTCTAATAACAGTCACTTAGCTACTCCTATGAAGAGTTCTGAATAAGCGTGTGTTATTGTTATATTTCTATCCTATATTCTGCCTTTCTCCAAAAGACATTTACCATTTTTTTGCAGTAAAGAAGACGCTATATCATTCTTTAAAAAAAAACACTTTATTCCACATTTGAGTAAACAATAGCATGAAACAAAACTATATAACAATGAAAGCATTTGGAAGTGCAGCCAGAGAAGTTGTAAATGAAAGAAAAATTCATACTCTGACAATTAGTTTAGTGGTTCTAGAATACCATTTTCAGCAATGCATTAATTTATTTATCGTTACACAGAGAGTGTTATTGATTAAATGATATGATATGTTTTAGTGATAAATAAACATGTTTGCTACTTCAGTTTTAACTTTTCTTAATTAAAACCCAGTGATAATCTTGATGCCTTTCTTAATGAACACTTGGTTATAATACTGATATCATTTAAATAATAGAATTCATAATAATAAAGAAGTACCCCACTCTTTTTATTAAGTGATATAATTATAATATGAAAGATAAATCACAGATCTCATATCACCCAAAATGGCAATATTCTGGCAACTTTTTATTTGCCCAGGCATGCAGATGATAAAATTAAAAGTATTTTAGGTCCCATACAATAGTAAAACAAGCTAGTCACAAGGCTTAGACATGAAATGTCATTAATAATGAAAGGAAATTTTCTTTAAAAAAAGAAAGAAAGAAAGAAAGCATTTTTCAAAAACATCTTATTTAATATTAACTACCAAAATTAAAATTATATAGTTAAGATTCATTTGCTTCTTTTATAAAAACAAAACTATTAAATTTTATCATTAAAAATGCCTTATGTATGGAATGAAAGAAAGTTTCAGCAGTATTAATGTTTCTGACAAATTTAAAAATGATGATGAATTGAAAGCTAATTCAATTGCTGATGAATTTTAAAAAAGTAATTTCATTACAAATATAAACAAAATTATTTTTTATAAACTAATAATTGCATAATCTGAAATAAAAAAAAAGAAAAGAAAAAAAGAAGAGCAGTAGGAAAAGGAGAAAGGAGAGAAAAAGAAAAAGGCAAAAAACAAAATACAATTAACTTACTGTTTTGATCTGACATAAAATCTTATTTCGCACCATTATATCACTTTGTACTTGTATCTTATACCTGTTCAGCTGAGCCATCTGAAATATAGATAAAAAAATGGTAGTCTTAAAAAGCCATCTTCTCTAAAATGAGAAAATACATATAAAAAAATTACAAACTGATGTTAAGGAAAACTTAACATAGCTCAGTGATAGCTGAAATTTACAAGAACTTAAATAGTACACAACTTCTAACTGTAATAGATTCATATACTGTTAATTAATTTCTAGCAACAGAAAATATGTCAAGAAATTCCAAAAAGAATTTAATATCCTAATAAATGCACATATCTGTTTAACTGTGTGCATTTTAACAGTACGCTATACACAATTCAGCATTTTAAAAAATTATAATTCTTAAATATAAGAATTACTACTTAATTAACTACTTACTAAAAATATAACCTAAAAGAATTATAAAATTCCTAATTATAACAATTTAAATAATTATGCATAAAAATACTTATAATGAAGACAAAAATTAAATTTTGTTTCTTAAAATGAATGGATATCATATGCAGTTATAGTTTTTTACATATTCATAATTACATCCAGACTGAAAGCATCATGCAGATGTAATCAATAAATAACAAAGATAATTTTTTTCTAAATATGATAATAAATTTTCAATATTTAGATATATGCAGTGGCATCATACACACCCGTAGCAAGGGGGGGCCGCCCCTTGCTACGGGTGTGTATGATGCCCCAGGCGCGCTCGCTGAGGGGCGCAAAATGGTCTCCAACCAAGATTTTCATCATACCTCTGTGTTTTATTTTTCGGGGGGAGGGGGGGCGGCACCAAAAAAGTATTTTGCTCCAGGCGCCAATTATGCTTGCTACACCACTGGTTATATGCCCAGAATATGTATCCATTATACATGAAATAAAACCTTCTAAATCTTTTCAAAATATAAACCTCAATTTAAACTATAGATGTTATCAATAATTCTTTTATCTGCATTTAAGAAAGCAGAAACTAAATAAATTACTAAATCGTCACTAAAATTTTAATCAGTTTATTGTTACTCACATGTTTATTGCTTTATTTTCATACTTTTATTGCTTTCAGGCATTTTTAAGTTTATATGCATTTGTTTATTGTTCAATATCCATTCTTTTCTAATGTTTTCACTTCAAAATGTGTGGCAGGCATATGGGACATTTCTAGACATGTGGTGAGAACATTAAGACGTTTGCAGGATAGATTTGATCTGTTGTTGTTTCATAGCAGTGCAGTTTCATAAATTTGGTAATATATAAATCAATGGAATAAAATAACATTAAGCAGAGGAAATAATAAAACACAATCTTCCAGTTTGAAAGATTAGAGGTGCAAATTAAAAGTATAAGTTGTGGCTGATGATAGAACACTAGATATGAGCATCATAATAGTAAATATAGTATGAAACACATGAGAAGAAGGTTTTGAAGTAGTAAATAAGACAAATATAGAAAATAACTTCAAGCATAATCATCAGGAGTAAATACTGGAAGAGCTAGAATAGCTTAACTTGTATGAAAAGGTATTAGACAAAAGTAAAAGTTTTTAAGTACAAAAATTTTTTAATTTAATTTTTTTTTCCCTTTTCCTTTGGTAGGGCATTAACTCAAATGCAATCTTGACTTATATCCCCATATGGAAATCAGACTGAATTTAAAAGAAGCATTCAAAATTTATTGGAGTCCCACAAAAGTTATTTTTTAGATTAGTGGCACTAAAACTGGTTGTTGTTTTAACCATTGCTTTCTTCTACCATTTTATTGTATGTTCAAATTAAAAAATAGCATTTTTGTGGCATCAACTAAAAAATAAATAATTAACTAAAAGCATTAAAGACTTATGCTACAGTGTAAAATACATGTACAGATATAGAAGACTATTTATAAGTTAGATATATTATTGAAATTAATAATTTCATTGAAACCTAAAATTATCAACTTTAGTACATCTAGTCATTTAGCTTTTATATGTTCATTGTTTTTCATATAATTCTTCCCCATAATTTTCTCTTCATGATTTTTCAAGAAATAAAATTAGCAAAAATGAATTAGAAATAAAATTGGCAAAAACTAGAAATAAAATTAGCATACTACATGATTACCACATTTATTATCACTTCAATGGCCTTTATGATCCACAAAGGTTGTTTTAAAAATATGACTTAAAAATGCACATATATTCAAACAGCATGAAGATAATAGAACTTGAATATATGTGTATTCAAAATTAGACAAAGAAGAAATCCAAATTTGGTGTAGATTTTGAATAAACCTCTATTGATTTTAAAAGGTACACAGGGTTTTATACACAGATTCCTCTTCTTTGGAACCACAGTTTTTGCTTCTGAAATAGAGTAAGACATGTCTGATCACCTTCAATATCATGAGAGTTTTATTTAAAATCCTTGCCACACTAAGATTATTCTTTTGCCTAGTTTTAAATTTTACACTTTTGCATGTATTTCTTTTCCAGATAAGTGCATTCGTATAAATGCACATCCATTGAAACTGATACTACATTCCTGCCTATATTATCTTATTATAAAATGTTTAATACTATTAATCAATATAAAATTAATTACTTTAATTTTTTATATATTTCTGCCTCTTTTATACTTTTCTATTCAGCTTTTTTCAGCATATGATCTAAAAATTTTCGATTTATATTACAGTGTAAAACATGGGTACAAACAAGAAAGACTATTGTATAAGTTACAAGAATATTATAATTAATAACTTTTACAAGCATAAAATACACTAATATTAATAGTATAGCTATTATTGAGGCTTCATTTAAAACTTCCACTCAGAAACAGTACAAACTGCATATTTTTCTCTTTTTGATTTTAAAGAAATAAAATTAGTAAAAATGGGAGGGAGGAATGTGCAATTCAAAACTTCATTTTTAAGTAAATGAAATCAGTATAGATTTTTGGGACTCCTTATTTAATCGAGCCACTATATTAAATTATCCAATCTGTAATATGCAAATTCTAAATGTTGCCAAAGTTTTATTTCAGCAGCCACTTTAAAAAAAAGCATAAAATTTTTCTACAGTCTTGCATCATATTTATGATTATTAATGCATTACAGATTTCTTGGTTCATCAGAAAATTTTAATGCATTTTAAAAATCATAAATGTTGTGAAAATTTTCTTGGCTTGCTAAAGTGTTTAAAAAAATGAATGAATAAATACTCACTGCATATAAAATTCAAATATACACAATTTTCATGCCTATGATATCTTAATAAATAATCATATAATGAATTGAATACAATCTATAAATATAAAATCAAGTTTTCTATTTGATTGAAGAAATGTAAATTTTGCTACAGACATATGCAACATTTCTGATTATTAAAATACATTAAAATATTCGGTACTTACGTGTTATCGCAACCAAGTTGGCGCGATTTGTTAGTTTGAGTAAAAAAGTATGAATAGAAAGAAAATGTACATTTATTAATTACAGATAATTTTTAATACAGTTTTTTATATTATTTTGTTTTAAAATATAAAATAGCAATTAAACCCTTCCAGTTTCGAATTTGAATAAGTTGCAGAATTATTTTTTCGGCAGAAATCTTTTAGCTATTGCTTTTAGAACTGATTGAAAACCGTCTTCACCATTAACAGCTTGAGCTTGGCGCCATATAAATTCGATAAGGTATGAGTCAAGATGATGACGGGCTGTTCCTCTCTGTTTTTTGTTGCGCCATTTGGCTGAGCCCCCACATGTGCTCTACATGTTGTGTGTGAACGCCCGTGTTGGGATCCACAAAGTTATATTTGTGATTAACATTTCCATGCAAAAATCCAGCATTTTCGAACTCACTTGTATTGTATCCTTTCCAGCAATCCAAATAAATGATGCTTCCTTCCTTGATATTTTCGCAAATTTTTTCCATGAGGGTAACGGTGCTTCTGTTAGGTACAGTAACCAAAAAAGTCTCTTTCTTTTCTCGGCAAATTCCACCGAAAACCCATTGCTGTGGTAGTACACGCCCAGTGTTATTTTTTCTTTTTACAAATAAACTTTCTTCTATTTTCACAATTAAGTCCTTCGCCGCCTATTTGCTTTCTTTCTTTTTCATCCATTTCAAGGGCACATATCTCCCGCATGTAATTATTGCAATCTATAACAGTTTTGTCAGCAATTCCCATCTCTTCTGCACAAAATTTAATTGACGTTAACTCTTTACACCAACAATAAATGAAACTACGTATAACACGTAGGGTTGTCGTAAGTAGGGACGCCAAATTTGACGATTTATGCGAATTTTGGCCTGGTTGCATTAATATATAAGTACCAAATATTCTTAGTTTTTCAGAAAACTTTAATTGTTATAACTAATGTACATGGTTTATGGTCAGCTAGCACATATACTTCTGATTTATTCTGAATCACTATGCTTTAAAAAATATGAAATACAAAATTAAACGGTACTTTTCCTTTTCACCGGCGCAAATCTCACCTAGCAGACTTTATTGGTGATAACATACAGTATACACATAAAAAATGTTAACAAATGTTAGTTCTAAGAATTTTTTATTTTGAAGGCATAAACATTTTAATAGGGTTTAAAATTTTGTAAAAAGCCAATAAATAAAGACAATAAATTTGTAAAAAGACATTTATTTAAGAATTCACTATGCTTTCATGGTTCAACATCCTGATTCGCCGATTCATATCATGTGACCCCAAGAGATCTCATCTCACGTAAACTATGCTACAAAAATCTAATTATTTACATTAATTTCAAGTTAAATCTTAGTTTGGAATAAAAGTTTAAATGCAAGAATTGTTTCAATTCGTACGAATAGCTTACTGAGAAATTATGTAAAACTGCAGTGCTTTACTTCACTGGTACATTCATTAGAACTGATGAATTTAACCCTTGACTTTGCCTTTACTATATTTTCATCTTCAGGTGAGCGATGTGATTGCTTCCTACGTGACTTAATTACAGCGAATGGTCTTAGGGCATAAAATTGAACTATCTGGTAAAAGTTCTATGTAATTTTATGCCAGTATTGAAAAAAATCAATCAATCTGATAAGAAATGGCTGCGAGTCGTTTTGAAAATGAGGCGTAAAAGGTTACCAGTGAGGATATTCCATTTGGCATCAGTTGTACCAATATTGGTGACTTTATCACCTGCGCTGGCAATACGAAAAAGTACCAATTTAACTAACACAAATACTTTCATATAAGCAAATCTCCTGTATACAGTCAAAAGTCGTTAATTCGGACACCCATAATCCGGAATGATCTATAATCCGGACCTCAAAGCTAAAAACTTTCTGCACATACGCAGCGTTGACACATGCACATAGGCGTTTATGCGTGCATGTAAGACCTTTACGACTGCGCATATGTGTGTGCGCAAGTGCAGAATAAGTTTTCGCGTGCGCGTTTTATGTATAACGAACAGTATAAACTAAAATTATCTAATTATCTATTTCAGTTAATGTTGATGATTGCGTTGTTCCTTAATCTTCGAATTGGATCCGGTTTATTTTTTTTTGCAGACTGTAAGAGCAATTTTATAAAAGTAAACTTGAACTTTCGATTATGTTAAATAGAATTTCCAATGCTGGAGCTCCCAAAGGATCTAAAAAACGAACGTATGTTTCGATGTCCATCAAACAAAAAGTGGAATTGCTCCAAAAAAATGGATAAAGACATGAAGAAGGTGACAGAGAGGTTAGTGAAAATGAAAAAATTTCGATTGACAAGTTAGTCGGTATTCTCGGCACAGCAATTAACGGGACTTGAACAGCGGAACTTTGTAACTGAACAAGAAATTATGTCTTTTTATAGAATTGAAGAGAAAGTATTATCACATAAAATGAAGCAACTTAAACAACTTACATTGAGAGAAATGTTTAATAAAGTAAACAAATAAATATTAAGCTTTTTTTTTTTTTATATATATAAATTTTGATACCCTTTAGATCGTAATTGTTCTTTATTTCATAAATTATGGTTTCATATTTTTAATTTTATAATTTCTGCATGCCATCTTACCAGATTTAAACTGATGATCTATAATCCGGAAAAATTGATAATCCAGAATCGCCGAAGTCCCGACAAATCCGGATTAATGACTTTTGACTGTATTTTATAGCATGTCACTGTTTAAAAATATAATATAAATGATAACTTTTAATTTATGCTTGTATTAAAGAAATTATACACAGACTGAAAAACATAACTTTAAAGTACTAGAAAAATTCAGACTTTTGATCCAATACTGTCATCAAAATATTTTGCAACTTTTTGTTGAATAACTTTTCCAGTAACTGGATGTCGTCCTCCGAGTCTAATATTTTTAACAAATTTTTCTTTTTCTTCTTTGAGATTCTTCAAAAAAATATTCAGTGATTCCAGCTGAAACTACAGAAAAGTACATCTTAGTAAAAAAAACAGATAATAATTATAATTTAATTTATTTTACTTCATTGAAGATATAAGATTTAAAATAATTTCAAGCCAATAGCAAGATGCAAGTATAACATAGTTTTATAATAAAAAGGACCACCAGCAGCTAAGCAGTAAACTTGCTGAACACTGGTAGTTCTGCCCGAGGTTCGAATCCAGCAAACAGTCTGGGTGCATGACTGTTGTAATTTTTTTTCCATGTTTAACGTGTATACGAGCCAATTCTCCTTAGAAAGTCCTTCACAAAGGCAAACCTTCTCTTAGGCAGAGAGCCCTCAAGAGCTTTGCCATAATCAAATAAACCAAACCAAACTTTATAATAAAAATGAGACCCAAAAATTACAGTGTATAACTTGAAACAAAAAGCTTGTGACATTTTTTTGCACTAAATTCTATGCTAAAAAATTTACAATCCAAAGTAATTTTTTAAGCATTCAGAAATTTGTGGACTATTTAAGATAGTTTCAGAAAAGAATTAAACTACATTAATCCATTTGAACTCTGAAACTGGATAACAGCTGAGTAACTTCAAAGTAGTAAATATATGTTGACTTTATGCAGCCATATTTACTTGCATGAAATATAATATCAATTTTCTGCTATTTACATTCTAAATAACAGAGTTTCTAAAAAAATTATGTTATTTCTCTGCTTCATAATTATTCCCTTTCAAAAAAAAAATCTGTCATTATTTGCTAGGAAAGAATGTCACATTTCTTCAATACTTCCTTATTATAGCGGCCCCCAAGTCTGAATTATTAATTAACCAAGGTATCTCACCACCTCACTACATGTTACATCTCAGTTTATTAGCAATTAAATTTTGGGTGCTGCTATAATAAGTAAGTACAATTTTCAATCAATCAATACCTTGGTTGATTATTAAGAATATAAGCACCAAATTATGTTTAAAAGGAAGTCTATATTTTAGAGTATTCTTTTGACTGTTGTTTCATTTATCACCAAGTTGTTGTTTCATTTATGGTATTTACCTGAGTATTTTATGTTGAATGTTATGGAAACCCTATTATGACATGACTGGTTGTAATGTATGATTGTAATGATTTTGGCTGTTGGGAAAATATTTCTCGGAGCTTACTTATGCGTTGGATTTTGGTGAGGAAGTACGTTGCTTATTTCGTTCTTTACACCATAAAATACTTGCTGGTGGTACAATTAACCTGAAGTTTCTATGCTTTGGAATGAATGGGAAAGAAAACATTGATCGAATGGTGCATAAATGAAGATTTAAATGGCTTTGTGCACCTCTCATTAAATTACACATGAGATTTAAGGATTTGGAAACCAGAGCTCATATCAACTCTATGGAAGGTATATGGGGGTGTAATAAAAAGGGATTTTTTAGAGAAATGCCAGTGACAGTCCAGCAGTCCGAAGAATATTTTTGATTTTTACATTTGTGAACACAGATTCTAGTTCAGATGATTTTAAACAATTTTTGTATGCTGTTAAGGAATTATGTATGCAACACACCAAAGACACAGAAATTTCTAAAGGGTAAGTTGATATTTCCTTTTTGTAGTGCACAGAATAGATAACATGTACTTCCATTTTTATGTTATTTCCTTGTTTTATTTTGATTTAAAATGCAGTTTATTGAGATTATACTTTTTTAATGAAATTATCAAAAACTTAATTATGTGTTTTTGCATTATGTTTTGGACACTATTTTACTTCAAAGGGCGTTGCACATAAACAAGAATGGCGCAAAAAAAAATCGCCAATTTTCACCAAGGTGTACCCTGAAATATATTTTTCCCATTTAAAATAATACTTAATATAATCAAATAAATACATATTTAAAAATATAATGTACAATGACCATCAGTTTATTAAAAAATAATTAAATAAGAATATAATCTAAAAATAAGCAATACTAATTTGACAGTAGGACCAAATTTGCTCATTACTTGTAAATTTTGCAATTCATGAAGATCTCCAGCCTTTTTCAGTTCAAAATCTTTCTCAATACTCTGCAGTTTTTTCCTTGCAAAGTAAGTTTTCTCTGGATAAGAAAGCATACTCGATGCTGCATCGTGGATAGATGGATGATCTTCCCTTTCTAATATTTCTAAAGTATTTTGAACTAATTCATCTTCATTCAAGATAAATTCATAGATACTGTTTTCTTTAATTAAGTGGGTATTACTCTCCCTATACAGAAAAAGTTCTTACTTTAAATATAATAATTATATGAACAAATATTTTTAATATATAGGCCAGGAAAGGTTTGCATAATAGAATTTAGAAGTCTTATTTATTTATAATTAAGCTCTTAAATCAGAAAGAAAAAAGTGTAAATTGCTTTTAAAAAATATAAAATCCCCATTTTTTATGCAAGGTATCAATATGCATAATACATAACAAGGAAGAAACTTGCATGAGAAAAATCAGTATCATTTTTGTTAATCAATGATACTAAATTACATCTGGTACTATTCCGTTAGGGCAGCATCAGTTAAAAATGAAGAAAACAATGCTACAACATGCCAAATATTGTGGCTCGAGAGTTCCAGTTTTCACTTGAAATATCATCACACATTTCCCCCCCCCCATATTTTGCCATTTTATTTAGTATGATGGATTACACAATTTGAAAATTACCTAATGACAAAGAGACTGCCATAAGATTCCTTCGGGACAAAGGAATAATTTATAGCAATTTGTTCTCAAAATCATTCGATGAAATTAACTTTTGACTCATACAAAGCTCCTATATGGCATTGTTACATATGTTCTTGCTGTGAAAAAAAGGATTTAAAACCAAAACATGGTACAAAGGCTCACATCTTTCTTTCCTCAGTGCCGTTTGTTTTATCTATCTGTGGTGTCAGGACTTTATGTCGACTGAATTTTGCCAACTTCAGTTAGAAATCAGCCATAATAGTAAAATATATTGTGCAAATAGTTTGATGTCTCGTAAATGAAATAAACAAAATCATAGAAACAGATGAAAGTCTTTTCACAAAACTTGAACAACATTAGATATGTTCTTCTGGATAAATGGGTATTCGGGGGTTTATGCCGGGAAAGCAAAGAATGTTTTCTGGTCACTGCTCCCAATCATTGTGCTACAACATTGCTGACTGCTATTCAGGAAAACATTGCAGATGGCAGCATAATATTTCAAGACTGCTGGAAAGGATATAAGAAAGAGGAATTAAAAAATTCTGAACATTTCACTGTGATGAAATACCCAAACTGTAGAGCAATTTTGGAACAGTGCTAAACGGAGAAATAAATTGCTAAATTTTATATAATTCTAGTTAGAAAAATACTACTGAGATGAGGAGGGGAGGTATTCTAATGCACTAATATAATATAAATAATGCATGTTAATATCAAATAATGTAAAAATTTATTAATATGAAATTATAATCATTTCCTTGATCAATTCCTGTCCAGTTAATGAAATAACTGTATCACCTACTTAAGTGCTTTGAGAAGCTTTTTTAGCTCATTTTCAGATAGTTTCTGAAGCTCTTCTTCCAGACTCTCAGGGTCAAATTCTTCACATTTTATAAGCCAGTTAGATACATCAATTTCTTCTTTTTTGTGGTCTTCTTCGGAACCGAGAACATCTGACTTTTTAATCTTTTGAGATTCTTTAACTTCATCATCAACAATTTCGGTATTTAGATCTTTAACTTCGTTATCATCAACAATTTCAGAACTGAGATCTTTATCTTCCTTCGCATCAGGATTACTCAAATCCTTTTCATCCTGGAAAATCTGTTTATTCTCTTTTAATTGATCATCAGTTCCTACAGTGTCCACTTTTCTGTCTTGTTCTTCGGTGTTTTCATGTGATACTTCAGTAATTTCATTGACAGATAATTTAGAAGTTTCTTCTTCGGACATAATTTAAGAAAAAGTATTCAACTATATTAGTAATATTTAAAATCACATTAAATTCGAATAGAATAAAGTTTCCACTCAGTGAAAAGAAACAAAAACAATAGTTTTAAATCACAGCGCTATCTCTACGAAATCTAAAGCATCTTGTTTGTTACCTTGGTTACGATTATGTTGCCACTTTTTAAACATATCAAGCCGAAACGGTTCGTTTTCGCAGTTGCTAAGCCAATTTCAAGGATAAAGGAAGGGTTCAATTACGAGGCTCATAGGCTTAATGCCTTTACTCCCACATCATGAAAAATTAAATCATTATCATCATAAGGCCAAAAAGTTAAAATTTAGTGTCGAATTGTCAAAATAACAAAAAGGTAAACTGCCTTCCACAGTGAAAAAAGCTAAAAACACTGAAGGACTTAATTTAATAATTTTGAGATGGAGTAAAGGGAGAGAATCAATTTTGAAAGGTTACATCATGAATTTTGAAAAGATTCGATATTTCCTTGATCAATGATCTTGTGGTATTAACAATTAATTAACACGAGAAAGGAACCACTCGCGAAAGGTCATTCACGTCGCAAGTGATTCTGGTCTGGGGAGGGAAAGGAGCGGGGAACTCGTTAGGCAAGTTAGATTTAAATAAGGATCCTCTTAGATTTAAAGAGAAAGTACGCTAGAAACTTAGCTGTCCAGGTGGAAGATCCTCGTGAACGCGGAAAAAACAACAGCTATTATGTTTTATCGAAGAAGACTAACTTCAAGAAAAACTTGAAGTTCTATGGCACCAAGGAGGTTAGAATAGATGGAGTAAGCATGACGTCACAAAATTGAAGCCGAGGAAGGATCGACAGCGGACATCATGACTGATCAACATGGCTGCCGTGTGGCGTACGGATAAGACGAAAGGTTTGTTTATAATTGTATTGAAACTGCTCAGCCAGATAAAATGGGTGAATGTAGTGAAGGATGTAACAATCATTCCGGAAGCACTTCCGCAAAGGATCCGTTAAATGTAAACATCGCCAAAAATAACGATAAAAGTTCAAAGCCGGTAACCCGGCCCGACTGGTGTGTCGGAGTGGTGAGCTTGGCGAATAAATACGCATCGGCGCCAACGGATCCGCTGCGGAAACACCAACAGATCCTTTGCGGAAGAAAACCCTCCTAAATTTCAGTCTTTTTCTGGACGAAAATTTGTACTGTTCCAAAGGAATGTGCAGAATTTCATAAGTACTACATCTTGCATTTTGAATGCAAACACTGCTTCACATTATTGTGTAATAATGATTTAATTCTTATCTCTCTACGCCTGTATCAATTGATTTATTATATTATTTATCAATAACTCCTGGTAGAATAAGAAATATATATATATATATATATATAGTAAAGGTTTTTCCTGTATCATCTCCAAGGTACAGAAATTCAATTAAAGCGATGAATTTTTGGAATGAATTTTAGTCAGTATTTGAAGTTATTTAGAATTCGGATTCTACTGCAGTATATGTTATTTAGATTTCTGTTGCATTAAAAATTATTTAAAAGCTGTGTAGAAATATTATTTTGAAATGTAAAATTTTAAGAAACAGAATTAAAAGTATTTAAAAGGTAGCTATTGTCATTGATCATAGATTAATTGACTTGGTTAGTTTCCCTTGATAAAAGGCCCAGAAAAAAATTTGGCATTCGACATTCGTTTAACACTGTTCAACTCAATGTGCGGTCTGCCATTACGGTGCCTGTGATGATCGATTCATTAATTCATTATATATTATGCCGAAATATTGCATTTCAGATGCAACGTGTCCGGCTCAATGACAAGTATGCCCGAAGGGCGCATGACGTAGGTATGTGTGGGTCGAGTAACAGGAGGGGTCGGAATTGAAGACAGAGAAGGTAACTACAAGCGTGACCTCCCTCTCGAAGGTCACGCTAAAGGACATCACAGGCTGAGAAGCAACTAACAATAGCCAAAGACCAGGAAATGATCGATAATACTGACAAATTTAATAACACGAGCGGGACGCTACGCCGATTAGTCACAGGAACGGGAGATCTTATTGCGCATGCGTGCTGCAAGTTGACTTCCGGAAAACTTGCGATGGAAATTTGAATGGAAAACATTGCTCAGTTTGCTGTCGGGCTTGCACGAATTATTTTGCAGCGTTTTTGATCAAAGCAGTTTATCAAGTGAATTTGAAGCATTTCATTAGGTGATTCTTCGCTTCCAAGCTTAAGAAAGAAGTTTTCGGAAAAGAAAGTTCAGTATGGAATGTTTAACATATTACATTTCATCAGCAATATATAATGTATTTGTAGAAATTGGTAAAATATGTATTTTGCTAATATTTTATATTAGAGGTTAGTAATATTTCTGATGTCTTTTCTTGTCGACATATTTTATAAGAGAATATGTATGGATTTACAATTTATTGTGAAACGTACTACTTTTATTCATTAGCTAATTAACTGAAAATTTATTCTCTTGATTAATTTTATTTACTGGTTTTAAAGTGAAAAGTTGTAATAGTTAAGATAAGTACGGACATTCTTACTTTCTTCCATTACTTAAAAATTTCAATTACAGTCTAATACTTTGAAGAATTTACTATTACGTATACAAAGAAAAGAGTTAAAATTTTAAAATATAAAAACAATTAATTAAAAAATATGCAATTTTTAATGCTTTATAATTTTTTTATTTTGTAAATTAACTTCCAAATTTCTGAAGAAAATTTAGATTAATGGCCAAAAAAAACTTTTAACTAAATAATGGCTAATAACTTAACAAGTAATAGTAAAAGAAAAACATACATTTAGTTACTTATTTAAGGTGAAATATTCTCATAAATTTCCCAAGTGAATAATTATGTTTATTTTGCGACAAGACGAAACCCCATTGATTAAATATTAACAGAATATTCCAGACATTTAAAATTGTTGGTGTGAGACAATGCATAAAAATGTAAGCATGAAGTAACCACGTGTTCCAAAATCTGCCATACTGACCACGTGGTTGGAAATAAATGATTGTTTTCAGTGCCAATCTAATACATTTAATTAATTTTCATAAACAGTTTCTATGTTGCTGAAAATCTCGCTGGAATATAAATGGTGAAAATCTGTCGTGTAAGAAACAACTGATTTTTTTCCCCTTACACACTTTCAGTTTCCTTCTTGTTTCGAAAATTCCATATATGAATATACGGAATGTATAGTAAAATTAGGTTTTTTTTTTTTTTTTTTTTTTTTAAATATAACCTTTTTTTTTTCTTTTAATAATTTCAATTTTGGTTTTGGTAATTTCTTTTAATAGTTTCAGCGTGCAATAAGAAACGTCCAAAATCTTCATAAATTGCTTTTGTGGTTCAAAGAGATGTCTTTTTCAACATATTTAACTGTCATTAATATAAACGTCACATGTCATCTCGTTGATGGAACTGTCAAAAATTAATTCTACAAAAATAGAACTGTCCTTTTTTAAAAATATCTGTAATACGAAAGATCTTGGTCTAAAATGTCTGGAAAGTTTCTAAATCTCCTAGTAAATTCGGATATTATTTCAACGATATTTATAGCCACGTTGAAACACGTACAGTCCTTTCTTAAGGGAAATGTATTCATGAAACTATTCTACTTATATTTTACTGGTTCGCTTCAACAACCTTCACCATAGAGTAGCAATCCCTTTTATTTTGCGAGTGCACGTGCTTAAAATAGGTCTAACTACAAAATGATTTTGCTTTGAAGTATGTACTACATGGTCTGAAGTATGTCTATTAGTTCTGAGTAGCACGTGGGCTAAATTTAATTATTGTTACAAGGGTTAGGTTCCGATGCACAGCATAATTCTAGCTTCTTCATATAACGTATTCCAATTCGTTGTCAGTCACATTTGTATTTTAAAATTAATATTTAAATTCGTGGAGAAAATCAAATTCGTTACAAAAATGTGTGAACGCCTTTTGTGTTTTTAAAGTCTGATCTATTATTTTCTAAAGTATCCTCTGCTTATGGACTATATTTGAGATTTATTTTGTGTATGCAGATTAATTAACCCAATTGAAAGTTGTACTATTTAACCGTTAGGAAGACAATAATTTATTTTAAACTTCCTTCTGAGTTATTTTACTTAGAAATTCAAGACGAGACGGTAAGTCATTTGACCGCCTTTATGGGTGAAACAGTTAGAATATGTTGGATACACCGATTTGGCAAGAGCTTAGAAACTAAACTATGGTGCAGAAGTCTTCCGTGTTACAAAATGCTTCACATCGAACATCTGCGCTTTTTCATAGAAATACGAAGAGTTACGTTTCCATGTTATATTGGCATTTGGGAAGTAAATTCATTATAGTACTGTCAAGTACTTTTCTTTTTTCTGTAACATTAGTTTTGATTTGCCATGTATTTGATAAACAATTCAAAATTTAACAGCTAGGTTGAAGAGTTCGGCTGGTGGACAGATAGAATACGTACTCGACAAAATGTTGTTATAACCTGGCATGAACTGAAGTTTTATTAGCAAAAAGGTTGTGTATGTCCAGAATTATCGTACCGATTCGACAGGTGTTTCAATGATGCGCATGAACTTCGTGATATATGTCCAAAATTATCGGAAAGAGTCGAGAGATAGTTTCGAAAATTTTCAATGATGAATACTCATTGTTAAAAAATCTGGCAGATTCCATTGGATGCCACGCTGAAATACTGTGTCAGTCAAGCCCATCATAAGAGATACTGATTATTCAAACACAAGTGAAATTGCTATCATATTCCTTTTTTGGTGAATTCTTCTATGCTTGGCATCAGTAAAACTAGTTATTCCTAAGTGTTAGGAAAAATATTTAATAGTTTCTTAGTTTAGGAATTTTGTTTAAAAATTAATTTTTAAACAAAAGTCTAAAGACGTTAACAGCTTATTTTTAAATACTAAGAATAGGAGGTCTGAGGTGAAGAGAAGGGGATGACTATACGCCACAAGGTTTTAGAAAACCAAAGAAGACCAGGAGAGGCTTGACAAGAGTGTGGGTATCTGACAGATGCTAACGTAACATACATAAGAAAATGCATAAAATACAAAGTTTTATATAGCAAAAATAAGTCAGTACGGTATAATGAGAACAAAAGAATAAATGTAAAAGACAAAATGTATACATGGCAATATACACACATATACATAAGGTACAATTA